TTTTTTTTTTCAACCAGGAACAGGGAAAAGAAAAAAAGCTGAAAACTAGGACCTGGGAGGGGACGAATAAAGAATAATAGTAAAAAGGACAAAAGTATTAATAATAATAGTAGTTTTAAACAGACAAATACAAGCAAACTAAACACCAGAAAAAAGGAAGTGAAAAATAAAAAAAGGGAAAAAAATCGGTGGAGGACAGGGCAGGGCACCCTGGCTCCATCTGCGCACACAGACTGGGATGGAATTCCTACAGGCCCAGAAGTTGGATGGGAGTGAGGGATGGCCGCATCTCCATTCACCAGGTGGGTGTGGGGTATAAGAGTAACAAGAAGAATGTTGCACCTTTTCAGTCATGCAGGTCCAGAGTGTCCTTGGGGTTGCTGGTAAGCAGAACCTATTTTTAAGCCCCTGGAATCTCGGAGAGCACTGTCTCTTTAAATATCCAAAATGATCAAGCTGCTTGTAAACATTCAAAATGGTGGCACCCTCCAGACAGGCAAAAGTCCACAGCTCAGCCCGCCTTTTTCTTCACCTTCTCTGTTTATTCCCCAGCCAGCAGAGCAGTTCTCCGTGCAGTCCCTGGCTAGCAGAGCTGATTTTTAGGTTAATTCTTAGGTTCTACCACCACTTAGCACTCTCCAAGCTGTCTGTGCCATGCCCTCAGGCTTGCTGCCAGAGCACAGCTCCGTATGTCTCCTTTTTTGGTATTTTCATGCAAATTCTTCTGCTAGTTGGGGTTTAGTCCATTTCTGTATCCTTCCCTTCTAGGCTCAGGTGTCCAGGATTATCTTCTGTGTCTGTGTTAATTTGTTTCCCTTTTCTTTGTTGAAGAGGGTCTGTGCAGTCTTTCTGCCTAGTCTGCCATCTTACCAGAACTCTATTCCACATTGTTTTAAATTTATTGGAGTATAACTCTTCATAGTATCCTGATATTATCCTTTTAATTCCTGTTGATTCTGTTGTGACATCACCCAGTTTGTTTCTTATTCATGTTATTTGTATTCTTTCCCTCTTTCCCTTTGTTACATTTGCCAGTGTTTTGTCAATTTTATTAATCTTTTTCAAAAAAACAACTTCTAGTCTCGTTGATTTTTTGTTGTCTATTTTCTGTTTCATTTATTTCTGCTCAAATCTTTGTTATTCCTTTTCTTCTGATGACTATAGGCTTTTTTTGCTGCTCTTTTTCTAATTTTTTGAGATGCTGCATTAAGGTGTTCATTTTAGCTCCTTTTTTCATGTGTGCATTTATTGCTATAAATTGGCTTCTGATCACTGCTTTTGCTGTGTCCCAAAAATTTTGGTTGTGTTTTCATTCTTGTTTGATTCAATGAATTTTTTAATTTCATTTTTTATTTCTTCTATTACTCAGTCATTTTCAAGGAGGGTGTTATTCAGTTTCCATGTGTTTGCTCTTTTTCCATTGATCTTCCTATTTTTCATTTTTAATTTGATAGCATTGTGATCTGAGAAGATGCTTTGCAGTGTTACACTGTTTTTAAATTTATTAAGGCTTGCTTTGTGGCCTAATACATGGTCTATCTTGGGAGAATGCTCCATGTGTGCTGGAAAAGAATGTATATTGTGCTGTTGTTGGGTGAAGTGCCCTGTAGATGTCTATAAGGTGAAGTTGGTGAATTGTATTGTTTAGTTCTTCTACATCTTTGTTGAGTTTCTTTCCAGTTGTTCTATCTTTGATTAAAAGTGAAAACAAGTCTTTTAAAGGCCACAGAGAAGAGTGATAGAAAATTCCTGTATCCACTTGATGGGAATCTATGCATGTCTACTCTGGAGTTCACTTATACATAATTATAAATAAGAAGCCCAAGTGGTAAATAAAGGGGTCTCAAAGTCGACTGACCTATTTTCCTTCTTTCTAGGCACCTGTAAGTCTCTTAGCAAAGATAGCATTGGACTACATTTCTCTTATATCCTTTCTGTGGGTCTCCCTTGCTCACAGTCAGCATCCCACATGTGGCTGCTCTGGTCTGAGATGGTCATGGCTTTGGCTCAGGATCTTGATACCTAATTGCAGAGAATGCTCTGCCTGTGCTGTAGAAGGTATTCCCAATTGGGTTGAGAGTTTGGTTAATAGGATCTTTACGATCTAATTTCCAAGGAGATTTTTCCCTCCAGTAGCTCTAGTTGCCTTCCTTATTAGTCACAAGAGCTCCCTGTCATGACCCTTTTCTACTATAACTGTGAACATTCCTATAGCAAGATTTCAATAGAATTATTTTCCTTCTATGCCCTGCTGCTCACAGGGATGGTCCCACCCTGGAACTCCAGCAGCAACTTACAAGTAAACATCTGGAGTGTCATTTGCATGGTGGCAGATGTGCTCTAGGAGTTGGGGAGAATTCAGAGTGGACATGAGACCCAAGCACAGAAGGAAGTGCAGGAGCTAGACTGATATTCTCAGTTAATGGAGAAGATTCTAAGAGTGATTTCCATTTACCCAACAGATAACTCTGGACCAATGACAAAGTTTGTTCAAAGTGCACCTCAGAAATCCCTGCTCTTCATGGTGACCCATGATGATGGAAGCAGCAGGTGAGTGCTTATAGATGGTTACAGCTGTGGGCAGAAGCCATCAGGGTGGAAAGTGCCAGGCCTCTATTTAGGGCCCCTCAGTAACATTCTCTAGGAAAGAATAAAAAGCTCAAAGAGGCAGACATGTCTTTAAGAAAAATGAATGACAGCACATAATAAAACAGGAGGGGGGGAAAAAAAAGAGGAAGGTTCCAAATGGATAACCAGTGGTGCATATAAGCAGTAGAATCTAGGGAACATTTCCAGGTAGCAGGATGCAGCCACAATTGTTGGGAATTAGGATTGCAAAGCTAAGCCCAGCCAGGAAAGCTGAACCCAGGGTGGGGATTACATAAATATAAACAGAAATGGAGGAAACGTCTCCATAAAAGGAGCAAAAGAAGGATAAAGAAATACACACACACACATACACACACACAGTTGCTTGTATAAGTCGGCACTCACAACATGTGCGATGGTATTACTAGAGAGAAGGATAGCTCTGTGTTTCTCAAAGTGGCTTCTAACTAAGTATGTGTGTCTTTACTGCTGAACTTAGTAAGAAGTCAAAATTTCCCTTTGCTTTATGAATTTCCAAAATAGGGCTACAAAATGCAGCATTCTCCAAATTTGTTTGACCTCAGGTCCCCTTTTTCATGGAGCATCTTGCCATATCTAACAAATCCTTGGAACACACTTTGAAAATCTGATTTAACTCATTGAGGAAAAATCTAAGCTTTCCTATTCATTTCTGCTCTCCTTCCTTTGCTCACTCTCAATTGGTAGAATTATTTAGATTTTCTGTGGTCATGGGTATATTCCCATTTGCCTGTCTACCTATGTACCTGTCTACCTATGTATCTACCCATAGATTAGCGTTTGCTGTTACTAATAATGCAGTATTGTGTATGCAATAGTTTCTCCTTTTACTGTCTGTACCTCTTGTGCAGCTCTCCATGTCTTCCTTTTCCTTAGTGATACTGTGCTAGTCATACCCTTTTGTTATATTGCTTTTCCCTAAAATAAGACTATCTTTTTTGACGCTGAGTTTTCTGAATGCAGGGGACAATTTATGACTTTCACTTTGGTCTCAGTGACTTTTGTCAACCTTTGTTGTGTACTCAACAAACAAGAGGGGCAACAAGGACAGGAAATTACATAGGCTGAATGTGAGGATAGGACTAAACCCCAAAACACTAGGTCTTTTCAAAATTGGAACTTTAAATGTTATGTGAAAACTTGAGGTCTAAAGGGACCTGGTTTTTCATATGGCTAACTAGAAATCTGACATACTGTTGGGAAATGGAATTTCCCCAAAATCTGCCAACCCAGAAAACCTCTCCACAGAAGTAAAAGAGGAAGAAAACAGTTTTATTACTGAATAAGCATTAAGCTAGAATGTGATGTGTTTATCATGGACAATGTGCTAAAGAGATTGCAAATAACAGAAAGAAATCAGACCCTTTATATAGCCAAGCAAATACAGCCCATTTTGTACATATTCTAAAGATAAACAATGATAAAACCTCAAGTAAGAGGACTTGGTAGTACCATTTGTCACATATAAATTTTAAAAAATAATAAAAATAAAAAACAGTAGCCGTAGAGTCAATCCCTTGTGTGTCAGAGTAAAACCATGCTCCACAGGGTTTTTAATGACTGAGTTTTTTGAAGTAGATTGCTAGACTTTTCTTCTGAGGTCCCTCTGGATGGACTTAATCTCTAACCTTTCAGTTAGCAGCCAAGTACATTAACTGGTGCTGCACATTTAAAAAAAAAATAAAATATTGTTGAGTTGATTCTATGACCCTGTATGCATCATATAGCATGAACTATGTTTGTGTTGTTATACATAAACCAAAAACCACCTGCCATCAAGTTGATTCTGACTCATAGTGACCCTATAGGACAGAGTAAAATTGCCCCATAGGGTTTCCAGGGTTGTAAATATCAGAAGCAAACTGCTTCTTCTTTCTCCCATGGAGCGACTGGTGGGTTCAAATAACCAACTTTGTGGTTAGCAGGTGAATGCTTTAACCACTATTTCACCAGATCTCCTATTGTTACCCGTTGTTGTTGTTGTTATGTGCCATGGAGCTGGATCCGACTCATAGCGACCCCTCCTTGGGTTTCTGAGGCAGTATCACTACAGAAGTAGCTTGCCCCATCTTCCTTCCAAGGAGTGGCTGGTGGGTTTGAACCACCAGCCTTCTGGTTAGCAGTCAAGTGCCTTAGGCACTATGCTACCAGAGCTC